GAAGTCAGGTTTGGACACCCGTTCAATTTCAAGGTCTTGAGATGACAAAGGTTATAGTGGCCATTAATAATATATTGTTTAGTCCCATTTCAGAAAGAATAGTCCAACTAAATTGGAAAAAGCATTCTTCACATCAAAAAGACGTTGTTCGCAGCATCAATAAGACATTGCATGTCATGCCAAAAATCCAAATTAAGATTAAGATTAAGTAGTCATGCCTCTGTTGTTTACTAGAACAATATCAGGGATTAGATTTTTCTGTTTTGTTTCTCCATAACCATCTAAGATGAGAACCTCAGCTGTTTTAGCAAGTTGCTTGAATGTTGCCTCAAAGATTAAATGCCTTAAATGTCTTGGCTTAAAGCATCTTGACAGGGGACCACATTGCTCAAAATAATCTAAAAATTCATCCTGACCATCACAAGATATTTGGTATATCTGTAATGTATGAAAAGATGCTTTATGAGAAATTGTATTTTCTATTTCCTTCTCATCATACAGATTTCTCAAAAAAGTCAGCTCCTCTAGCTTTGGGCATGCTTCAATCAGTTCAAAAGGATTACTCATATTGATATCACAATTTTCTATCCCTAAGAATCTCAACTTCTCTAGCTCAAAATTTTCTCCAGGTGATTTAATAATTAAACAATGATCAAACCACAGACTCTCAAGATTTGGTAACCTTCCCAACATAGAGATGCTGTCGCATAATGCAAAATTTCCTATCTTGAGAGTTTGAATATTTTGAAATGACTGAATTGATGAAAATAGTGATGGAGCTGAAATTTGATAGAGAGCTTCACTCCATAGAAACCAAACTTTGAGCTTTTTCATCTCTGTGAAGAATGTATCGTGGACTTCCAAATCCTCTAAGTCATCTAGAACCCAAAGTAAAACCTCAAGGTTTCTACCATCAAAGTATCTTGGAAAAGAATTGCTTTTCCAAAATAAACATTGCAAGCCCTTTTTAGGCTGTTTAGATTCAATGACAGATTGAACATCCTTTTCTCCTATTAATAAGGCTACTTCATGAACTAAATCATGCATCTTTACACATTCCCTCCCCGCATCCAATAATAAAGAAGAACCTAGGAGTTCCGCTATAGCATCAAGTACTTTTCTTCTTCTTTCATTGTAGTTATCAACTTCCCCAAAATGGTCCATTCCTACACCAATTTTGATTTAAAAACTCAATAGGAATCTTAAAATCTTCAGGGAATAGGGAAGATATCAACAAGAGCTTTTTGGCTTTTTCATTTTTCAAATTATCATAGCTCAACTTCAAACCTTCATAGACCCCTTTTAAATCATCATCACGAACCTTAAATATTGGCTCACCGCTTTGCAAGTTCCTCAAGGCTTCCTTCCAAACTCTAGAAGGTCGACCTTTTAATGATCTTGCTACAGCAACAATTACAACTGGTACTCCATGGCAGTGCTCCACAATAAGTGGCAAACTCTCCAAATTAGAGGAACTAGTAGTATGCTTGAGGAAAAGAGACAATGCGTCCTTATCAGTCAATGCATCTAGATGAATGTTTCTTTGGCAATCCATCTTTGTACAAATCTCTTCAATCCGGGTGGTTATCAATATAGTACAACCCTTCTGCAGGTGGGGAGGAGGAATCCCCAACTCTTTTGTGGGATCAAACTCCATCCACACATCATCTAGTACTATAAGAAGTTTTTCTTTTAATGCTTTGATTTTGGCCAATATTTTGTGATGGGGTACTTCTTCCATTCCATTCTCTAATTTCAAATCCAAATTCCTAGCAATTTCACCTCGAAGCTTTTTGAAATCTGGAAGCTTAGAGACAACAAGAAAGATGACTTTTCCGAACGTGGATCCTTCTAATTCAACACCCACTTCCTTTGCCATTGAGGTTTTGCCTGTTCCCCCTAAGCCTTCCAGTCCAATCATATTGTTTTCTTCATCTTCTAGTGCCTTTTTAAGTTCTTCAAATGTTGACTTTCTGCTCTCAAAATGTAAGAAATTTGGTAAGCAATGGTATTTTATACCTGGAAGATCAATTGGACTTGCTACTATGTCAGAGTTACATCTCTCTAGAAGTTTGTCAATATCTAGAGTCCGCTTCACCAAGTCTTTGCCTTTTGATATTGATGCCAGCAATTAAGACACAAGTCATGAAGGCATTTCTCTTTCTTAATGTCAACATCAATGAGTTCTTCAGCTTCACGTGTCCATTGTAGGGCAACAAATGTGATATGAGAAACACCTCTTGCTTGATCAATTATTCTCCTTAGATCTTCAAGTTTTGCATTCAATCTTTCCTTTGCATGCTCATATTCTTGAACATAACTATTGAAGCAACATAAATATTGAGCTTCATTTTTCACCAATTCCACTAAACTTTGGGTTGCCTTCTCTATAAAGTTAGGAGCGATGCTCTTCATCTAACATGGAAATAAAGTTAATGTTATTCTATCTTTCTATCTTGATTTAAGTTGTGAAATACAAGCATAATGATTTTAATAAGATGAAAAATAAAGGAGACTAACTAAAAAAGGAGAAAAATATATACTAATTTTGTATTTAGTATAATCATCTTAGAAAGTAAAATACATGAAGATGAATCCTGAAAGAAATTCACTATAGGTCATATGTTATGACTCAATGAATGCATTTTGAAGCTGGATTTGCGTAGTGGTTTTAAATCGGAGGTCATTTGGACTACATTAAAATTTGAAACCCCATAAAATTAGAGGCTAAAAATTACTTTTAATATTCTAAAAAATATATATAAGTTGAAATATTTTTATGTTTTTGGTATTCATTCCTAGATTTGGGTAAAACTTCTACCAGTAAAGAAGAAAACGTGATCATGGTTTTGCTCTCAAGTGGAGAAATTCTATTGGAGTGCTCTAATGCTTCTATCCTAATTGATAAACAAAAATATGATTTAAAAATGATAAATATATAAAATTTAGATTTCTTATAAAATTTAAAACATATAAAATTTAAAAATATATGATTTTTATAATATATTGATTATAAATATATGTTGTCTCTTTAGTAATTACGGTATAGACTTTACCTTTATATTAACTTAACAAATATTTAAAACTACAATCCAGAAATATCAATATTTTTATAAGACGCAATATATATGTGTCCACAAACTAGACCTTCCCGGTCTAACGCTGTCATGACGTGGCAAATGTGTAGTCGAGTGTCTACGGTCATGGATTATTTGTGTTAGTATATTATCCTTTTTATTAAAAAAACATTTACTAAAAAGTTGGAAATAAAATTTTCAAACAAGGTTTTCTTTAATTGAATTGGCTTAATAGTATTATGTGTGTGTTACCATATTAACATAAGAATAAATTAAGATTATCGTATATCCTAACCTTTTTTTTTTCCTTTCTGGTTTCATTTGGTAGAAGAAAGCAATTGATGAACTCGAAAGTGAGAACATAGAGTTATGCACCCACAATTTAACAGGTTTCAGAATATCATATTTACTTTTTTTCCCTAGTAAAGTGTAACATCCTAAAATTTATTAAAATTACGATAACGTCACTGCTAATATTTAGTCTTAGAAACTATCTCATCAAGGTCTCTATTATAATGACTTCTAGCCTATATTCATCTCAATTTCCTGTAAACAGCTCTCGAGACTTCATCAGAGTCTTCATCTTTCTCATTTCTTGGTCCCAACAAACTCTCTCTTTGTCATTTGATCCTTGAAAATCCTTCTATCTTTTTAGGGAGCTTTTGAGACTCATCTCAATTAAGGTCCAGTAACTTGCTCATTTCAGGTTATTTTTTATGTTTCTAAGTCCAAAATTCAAAATGTTATATCAGGTACTTCTTCTTTTTTAAAAAATATTGGATCATGCAATGCCATATTCGTATATAAATACGTGTGTGTTAGGAAAATAGTAATAAAAACATATAAACACAATATAAAAATAACAGAAATAGACTCAATCAAATAAAAATACATCCTTACCTTTTTTTGTTTTCCAGATTTCAGTGTTGAACCAAGAGGAAATAAAAGAGATTCTCAAACCAGAACACAGGAATGCAAATCCTGTCAATCAGAAATATGTAAAAGAGATTTCAATATAAATATTTGGATTAAAACTCTACAAAAATCATATCGTATATTTAGCAATTTCTTGCGATTTCAATCAGAGTAAAGAGAATCTTGAATGGCATGCAAATTTCAACATGAATTATAAAAATAAGAAAATAAGAACTAATGATCATGCAAAACTATTACTATTAATGTATCAAAAAACTATTATTATTAAAAAATTGATCTAAGAATTGACGAAGAGAAAAATAGAAGGAAAAAAGAACATACCGGTAGCCAAAGAACTGAGAGAAACAAGTCCTACTAATTTTACAAATTTTAAAATGCCAAACATGGAGAAGACACAGCTAACTATGAATAACTAAAAAGGTATGAAGCTTCCTGGCCCGCTTGTTTTTCCATTCAAATGCAACTAAACATACAGTTTCGCATATCCTTTTGTAATGAAAGTCATAATCAAAATGCTAAATATGATTGGAAGAATACTCCAATTGATGTGTGTGTAAAAGAAAAATGATAATACAATACTCCAATTGATGTGTGTGTGTGTAAAAGAAAAATGATAATATAAACATAAAACAATAAAAAATAAAAAAATTCAAATTAGAATATATTCTTACCTTGTCAAAAAAAAAAAAAGATTTCAACGTCGTTTCATAGGTAAAATGGGAGAAAATAAAAGAAATCTCAAATCAAAACACAAGAACACAAACCCTGTTAACCAAAAAAAAAAAAAAAAGACAAGCGAAAGCTTTAATTATAATAGAAAATATGTAATAAGTATAAGATCATCAAAATTAATCCATTCATATGATATTTTTTTGATATCACAAGGAATATGCATTTCTCTTTTGAACTATTTTTTTAGTAGGCAAGGAACAAGCATTTTGCAGTTCTCCTCTTCCAGAAACTCCCAATTTTTTATAATTGAAAGTATTCAATATAAAAATCAAATGGCTACAACATTATAATTAGAACTATACAAAAAATATCAGAATGCGTATTTATCAAATGTTTCGAGATTTCAACAATAATAAAGAGAATACTAAAGGAAACGGCACGTTAAAAAATAAGAATATAAAAATATGTACAATTGCATGCAGATTTATATATATATATATATAAATATATATATATATATATATATATATATATATATAGCAAGAAGGTAAATAAGACATTTTGATAATGCAAAATCATTATTGCCAAAAATGATATCTAATAAATTGATGAAGAGGAAAATAAAAGAGAGAAAACAGAGAACACAATAGTTGCCAAACAAATAAAAAATAAGTCTTGCTAATTTTAAAATGAAATATTTAATTTTAGAAGTTACAAGATCCAGTTATACAGAATAAGTCTTAATATTGAAAATCACCATTGAAGAGCTTTAATATAATAATATAAATAGACAAAAATACAGCCAAAAGGAAATATATTATGTATTGTTACCTTCCCCCCGGGGGAAATTAGAGTGCTATTTTGAAGAGAGAACAGAAGAGATTCTGAGATCAGAACGAGCTAGAGGGGTTTAGCAGAGCACGAGAAGTGCAGTGATCAAAGATGAGTTGATACTGAACAATCCTCAGATCTGGAAACATCACTCTCCTTAGGCCTGTTTGGTTTGAGGGGAGGGTAGGAGAGAGAGAGGAGGGGAGGTTTTATTATCACTTTGTTTGGTTTAATTAAAAAGAAAGGGAGGGGATGATATTTAATGATCCCTTGTTTAGTTCAAGAAAAGGAGGGAAGGGATAGTAATAATCAATTTACTATTTTACCCTTACATATTAGTTTATATTTTTTATTGATATATTATATAAATTAACTTACATCTTAATTTAAATTATATAATTTAATGAAAACTCAGTCTTATCATGCTAATATGTGTATTAAAAAATTGGTATAGTAATTTTTTATTCTAATTAATATAATAATATATTTGAAATAATCAAATTAACAAATTTTATATGCTCTAAGAAAAATAAAATTTTATTCTCTTTAGGCTATCCTTTTTTTCAGATTTAAAACATATTTAATAAATAATATATTTATAAAAAAAAAAATTTTATAATATTATAATTTTTATTTAAATATTTTTTATTTTTTTTAATTTTTGTTATAATATATTTTTTAATTATAATAATTTATATTTTTTATACTTAGGATAATATATTTTTTATTTGAAATAAATATTATAATAATATATTTTATAGGTAGTAGTGAAATATTAAAAAAACTATGAGGGTATGATGATCCAAAAATTTAGCTTCCTTCCAAAAAAACCCCCAATTTGGAAGGGAGCTAGAATGGGAGAAGGAAGGGGAGGGAAGAGGAGAGGACATTTTGGCTTTCCTCTCCTCTAAAATTTTTAACCAAATGAGGGGAGGGGCTCATTTCTCCTCCCCTCCCCTCTAACCAACCAAATATATTTAATAAATAATTAACAATTATTTTAGTCAAAGTCTTCAACAAAATATATTTTTTAAGAAGAATACTCCAGTTTCTATTATTATATTATTATTGTTATAATTGGATTGGATGAAATGACTTACAATTGATTGCTAGCAGCCATTAGCACTTTTTTATTGGATGTTTTATTTTTTATATAAAATATTCTCCTACTTTGATTGAATTAATTTTTTAATTGTCACTTTAATTAATTGAGCCTCATAATTATGATTCAATATGAGTCTTATGTTGTCCTTAAATCTTGATATGATGCAATGATTTTGTTCCTATTATAAGATGGACTTAAAGTCCTCACTAAACTAAGGCAAAAAAAAAAAGAGGTTAAATTATTTGATTTTTGTTGAAA